AAAAAAAAAAAAAAGACTATTACTGGAAACCTAAAATACATTAGCAGTTTATTTACAATGATCCTCGATGAAGTATTTTTCTATAGTACTGGAAAATAAAAATGATTAGTTAGAGCCTTAATAGTTAAGTGAATAAATGATGGTTGATCCTAAAGGCATATTAGGCAGAAGTTGATTATAATTTAAAGAAGTAAAATTCCATGAATGCTCAGATGTCTTAGATGGTGCTCCCAGGCCTTTGTTTAACACCTCCCCCTTAATCTTGGCAACAACCCCCATGGCAGGTGCTATCACCATCCACATTCACAAGTGTGAGATCATGTGAACCTAAGGTCACACACCTGGGCGGTGCCAGGCCTGGATATGAGCCAGGCACAGGTGATGCCATGAGATATGGTGACATCACCACAGAACACGGAAAAGAAGCAGAAGTGCCCACGGTGTGATGGTCAGACAGGATGCGGGCAGCCCCGGTGGACCCAGTCCTGAGGCTGACCAGCCTGTGGGCTGCCCCCACTTTTCTTCTTCTTACATCAGGTTCTTGCCTCATCCCAGGATGAACACAGAGCACAAGGAGAGCACTCTATAGTGCCAGTACACAGTAGGAACTCGAGAGACATTGACTAACTCAGTGAAATACATAACAGACAAAATACTAGAAATAAACAAAGCTCCACAGCAGCTGGGTTTATCTTTATGTGTTAGGTCTACATGGTTTTCCTTCTATTTCCCCCATTTTCCGAAACAGACATGAATTCAGGTATAAGTCAGGTTGTAGGGAGCCAAGTGTGGGGTCCCTGATGAGGGGTCCTTGATGGTAGTTTCCCCCAGCCCTTGGATCACAGCAGTCTCTGCTCTCAGCAGTCACTGACCCCCAGTGTTGGGGCCCAGCATACCCAGGCCCAGTCCATGCCCTGGTCTCCACCTGAGGAGGGAGGGGACTGAACAGGTGAGATGGTCTCATGGCCCGTGGAGATGACAGTACCTGGGAGCCAGTGGCTTTGAGATTGTCTCATCTCTAGGAACGTCTGGGGCCAGGGCCTGCAGCTCCCACAGTCCTGGGGTGTTCTCGGGGGACTTTGGAGGTCTATTTTCCTCACCTCCTGCTAAAAGCAGATCAGATGGGAAGGGAGGCTTAGTGAGGCTGTGATCCCAGCCTCCTTCCCAGCAGGTAAGAGCAGCCCTGCTGGATGGAAAAGCATATCCCCACTGTGTCATCCCAATGTTCTGTCAGTCCTTTGGTCTGAACCAAGAATCCATAATTACAAACCCAAGACACCCCAAATCCTGCCGCTTGCCTCGTTTCTCCAGTCTGCTCCCCGGACCCCTCCCTCTGGCCAGGGGATGCCCCCTCCCATCCCATGTCCCCCCGCTCCAGCCCAACTCCTGGCCCTGGAGACACACTACCCTCAAAATGCAGATGCGCAGCCACAGCCCCACCTGGGCCGATCCTGAGCCCAGCCTGACCCTCGGTCTCAGTGAACTTGCTCCCCACAGGGTGAAGCCCTGAACCTGCTGACTTGCGGAGGGGGGCTGTCCCTGTAACCCGAGTAACCTTACCTAGGCCTAGACCTTGTCAGAAATCAGCCCCCCAAACACAAGGAGGCTGGGGCTCTCGGGCCACTCACCTGACCACTGAGGTCTGTCCGCAAACCCAGGGTCAACATGAGGATCGCCCGAGGAGTGCAGGGGATCAGGACCCCTCTGCCTTGCACTGGGGTCTTCTGAGGTGGCCTGTTGGGCTGGCTCCATGCGCTGGAAAATGGTTCTTTGGCGCCGCCGGTAATTGGCAAACCAGTTGTACACCTGCTCAGTGGTCAAGCTCGTCTCCAAAGCCAAGTTATCCTGCCCCCAAACAACAGAACTTCTAGCCCCGTTTCTATGCATCGAGCCACAAGAGTGCGCAGAGGCGGCTGCGACAGCTCATTTCCACGAAGACAGGGGGCCGGAGGCCAGTCCGCCCTCTCCAAGAACAGCAGAGCGGGCACTCGGGGCACTGGGGTTGTGGACAAAGGAACGGCTCCTGGGCACGTGCTCGGGGGAGGCCGAGGGCGGGTCAGCGTGGACAGGACACGCACGCCCCGCCTGCCAGGGCTGCCCCCATCCCCGGCCAGCTGAGGACCCTGCCAGGAAGTCTGCGCAGTCGCCGCGCGTCCTCCTGGGCGGGAGCCCTTGCTCAGTCCACCTTGCGCCAGCGCGCCCGGGAGATCCTGAGCCCTGGAGGGGCAGGGGCTGCGCAGTCGGCGCCAAGCACAAAACCACCGTGCGGTGGGACAGCGCCTCGGCCGCCGCATAGTCCTGACCCGGACCGGCGCATCCGAGCCCGCGCCCTTGGCTTTCCTGGAGCGACCCCCGCGCCCCGTCCTCCAACAAGCCGAGCCCAGGGCACTGAGAGAGCCTGCTGCTCGGACAGGAGAGAGGAGCGGGCAGAGCGAGCGTGCAGAGCCTGCTGAATGAATGGAGGAGAGAAGTGGGCGGAGGGCTCCAGGGCGACGCCCGCTGATTGGACGGGCATGAGGTGGGTGGGGCGAGCACTGGGCAGATGCTGCCAATTGGACGAGGGCGAGAAGTGGGCGGAGGGAGCCGTCCCGGGCTTTGGAGAGCCGGAAGCCGCGCTCACGCCCGCGCCCCTGCGGGCCCCTCCGGCTGCATCCCGAGCCCGCACGCACGCGCTCCGCTGCACCTGCCCCCTACGTCGGAAGGGTCCGCCCCGGTGCCCGCCACCCTCTAGTGCGCGGTCACGAGGGCTCGAGGAGAGGCTGAGACCACCAGCGCCACGGGCCACGGGCCACTCGGGGCCGGGGAGGGTCGTCCCCTCCTCCCTTCTTACCCGCTGCTCCTTGCTGGGGCTGGCGGTCACGCCCGAGGCGAAGGCGTGCAGCTTCTGGCGAACCTCTCCGGGGAAGTTACGGCTCTTCGGGCCCTCCGGGCAGAGGGAGGGGGGCGGCGGGTTCCTGGATGAGGACGGTGAGGAGGTGGTTACAGCACAGGACACACACCCCCAATCTGCTCCCTGCTCAGGGCCTGGCCCTCTGAGCAACATGACACTCGTGCCCCCTTCATCCCGTGGGCCTCTTCCTAGGAGACGCCTCTCTGTCCTCAGTTTGTGAAAACCACAGTCTCCCATAGAAATGCACATACCCCCGACATACAGAGTTCACACGAGCGTGTGGGGTTTGCCGACGCCCTGAGCATCCGCAGGCCTGGGTGAGGCGCACCCTCTGGGTCCCGTGGCGCTCCTAGGCGCACCTCAGCCCCCCTGGCCCCTCCATGGACGCCCGCCTACACAGGCCTCCCAGAACCTGGCTCCCCGCTCCGTACAGTGTTTTCCTGCTGGTCACTGGTGTCTTGGCCGTCGGCCCCTCTCTGGAGGGAGTCGTCTGAGGAACGCAGCACTCTGCCCGCCTCCTTCCCCTTCCTGCCGCCTTGCATGGCCACACCAGCCTTTCTCCTCTCACTTCCAACACCTCCAACTATGATTCACTATCCTCAGATGACCTGGTTCTTACTTTCCTGAGATGTCATCGGAAGAGCAGCGCCACGTGTCTGCCACCACCTGCCATCCCAAGGCACTCCTCAAGCGCCTGCAGGACCCCTTGCCAGTGGAGGATCCTGCTCCTCTCCAAGCCCAGCCCCGTCTCACTAAGAACTTTCCTCCTGAAACTATTTCCTGTTTTTCACCATCAGTACTTTTACAGTCATTCCCACGAGCTGGTAAACATTCTGCAAATCTCTCACCATAAATATAAACCTCTCTTGACTCCCCCCTTCCCCTCAGCTGCTACCCCACTCTCTGCTCCTTTCCAACAAAACTTCTCAAAGAATGACCTAGGATCACTGGCACCGACTCGTCTCTGCAACACACCACACCGGATACGCTGCACCATGCCACTGAAAACACTGTTTCTCTGCTCCTTTCCAACAAAACTTCTCAAAGAATGACCTAGGATCACTGGCGCCGACTCGTCTCTGCAACACACCACACCGGATACGCTGCACCATGCCACTGAAAACACTGTTGCCCAGCTCACCAACGCCCTCCGTCTCCTCAAATCCAAAGGTCTTTCTCAGCCCTCCTCTTACCTGACAACCCCCACACACCTCACTGGCTTCTCGGCACCTCACACCCCTGAATTTCCTCTCATCTCACTGGCCACTCCTCAGCCGACCCCTCGCCCTGCTTTGAGGTGCAGAGTCCCAGGGGCCCACCCCCTCAACGAAGAGGCCGCCTCCTCTCTCTGCGCCTTCAGGGCTCTTCAGTACCACTCAGAGAGATAACAAAGGGACAAGTGGCTGACAGCTGCTGAAGCTGGATGATGGAGATGTTCAGGTTGGTTATGCTATTCTCTACTATTGTGTGTTTTTAATTTTTTCCATTAGAAAAACGTGACATATAAACATATGTCACCTATCTGTGGAACACTTGATACCCACATGTTCACATGGACATCTAAGATGCTTCTCACACATCACCCATCCCAGATGGAACTTGACCTCTGCTCTCCAAACCCTCCCCCAGCCCCTGTGCATCTCTGAAGAAACCACCCTGTTCCTGGTGGTCCCACTCAGGCCCCGAGTCTGGCTTTCATCCCTGTCTTTATCTCCTCCAGCATGTCTAACTCATTAGCAAATCCTCATCTCTACCTCAAAAGTCTACCCTGACAAGACCCTTTCCACCTTCTCCAGCCACTACTCGAGTCTTGGACCAGGCAGAGAGCCTCCACGAACCTCCTACCTCTCTCTGCTCCAGAGCCCTGCATCTGCTGTAACTCAGACATCACCCTGATGATGCCCCCAGGTCAGAACAAAGCACAGCGGTTCACCTTGGCCACGGGACCGGACTGGAGTCCTGCTGCTGCTCACTCATCAGCCCCTGGGGGTCCCCTAGGGCAGGAGGGCGAATTCAGCCACCAGCTGTTTCTATGGCCATGGGCTTAGAATCAGTTTTACATTTTTCAAGGTTTGTAATCACACACATGGACACACACCCCAAAATGTTTACTATCTGCCTCAGGACACCAAGCTCCTCTCGACCCCAGGCCTTTGGACTTGCCGCTCCCTCTGCCTGGAACACTTTCTGCTCACGTGGCCAGCACCTTCACCATGCTCAGGACCCTCCAAGGCTTGGGCAGGCCTGTGCTGACCGTTCTGTCTAAAGCAGCTCCCTTCACACAGTGGACACCCAACATGCCCCAGCCCTCTTCTGCACACACTCTCTACATATGGCTTCTCACTCCGTGGACAAGGGAATCCACTTTGTATCCGTATTTATTATCCATTGTCCTCATCCAGTGTCAGCTCCAGAAAAGTAGGGCCTAGTCTATATCTCCAGTTCCTCCCCACACCATGCAGGGGACACGTCACAAACACAAGATGCCATCATGCTGGGCCCCCATCACTGCAGTCAGGCAGGCTGTCAGCGTCTCCATGAAGGGATATGATCACATCCCCTGATGACCCCAGGCTGGCTAACTGCTGGGCTTCTGAGGACTTGTCTCACTTCATCACTATTTGGTTGGCACCATGCAAGAGAAGCCTCTCTGGTCCACGAATGAATCCATCTTTTCTTCCTCCAGTAACCAGTGTTGCTTCCTACCAGGCCCTGTGGCTCAGGAATGCTTCACCACTCAGGCTATCAGGAGCTCAGCACAGAATCTACAGCCCTTCCCTGACCAGTGGAGAACACCCGACAGGAAAAGTAAAGGCTCTGAGGTCTCAGAGTGTAGGCTGGAATCCTGGCTTTGCACCTCCCTTGTGTGAAACTTCAGGCAACTGATTTAACTCTACCGTTTCTCAGTTTTCTTATTCATAAATGGTGATGATGGTAATAAAAATAATTAATAGTAGTAACATTTATGCATTGCCGATTATGGTGACAATAATTATTAACATTTATTTAGCACCATCATGTGCCAGGCATTCTTCTGCGCACCTACATATAACTCATTCTAATACTTGCAACACTCTCGTCCTTATTGTTCCCATAGGCCCTGCGGCCCCTAAGTGGCCACTGGAGCCTGGGTGTAGGGTAGATGACTTAGGACACACGTGCTGAGCAGCTCCCTCCTGCCCCTCCATATCCACTGTCCGTCCTCGGTCCGTGGGACCCTTTTCCAGCCAGCCCTGGGTGGGAGCTGGGAGAAGGAGGAGACAGGATGCCACCCGCTGGCCTCAGCCTCAGTCCCCCTGGGTGCGGCCGTTTCCAGCCACCACCTGTGACTCAGTGCCCAGCACACAAGGGCGTGACACACACTGCGATAATATTAAGCTTATTACATTGTGACTATTGCAGCTTCACCTGACTTTCTACCCATCTCTCCTCACCTTTACTTTACCTTTGGGGTTTTGGATGGTATCTCTAATCCCTTCGGAGCCCCATAGAATAAGCATTAATAAATGACAGCAGGTACCTCTTCCTGCAGCGGAACTTCTGCACCGGGGTCAGTGCAGACACGCCCAGCCTCTTCATCAGCAGATGGTAATGGATGTTGTTCCAGAGCTGCACCAGCTCCTGGCTGCCTCCAGGCACCCGGCAACCCTGCCAAGAAAAGCCTGCTGAGCCCTGGTTGCCCCACCCACCCTGAAGCACTGTAGGGACCTGTGTCTGCCATCCCAAACCAACCCACCCTCGGGAAAGGCCGTGACGTTTATGGGAAGACCAGGGGTCTGGGTTCAAGCACACCAAGTGGGCCAAGTAGTGCAGACGTGAGTCAGACAGCCAGCACTCAATCCCCACCAGGCTACGTCGTGTGACCCTGGCCAGGGGGTTACCTCACAGGCCACGAGCAGACACACTCGTGTCAGCCACAAACGGACGAATCATCCCTCCCCCAGCCCGGCCCCACCTTGAAACCCTTCGACCCTCCCAAGAAGGTCTTAAGTGACAGACCTTCATCTCCCACCTAGCAGGGCTGGCCCCTCAGGTGCTTGGCACATCTCAAGCCAAGTGGGATGAAGGGTCCCCTATCTGGGACCAGTGACAATTTACCCATCCACCTGACCAGACTTTGCAGATGACTGAGGATACCCGATATAGGCCTCTCCTGCACAGTCCCTGCCACTTACTTAATTCCAATCACCGGCCATGTGAAGCATCCCCATGGCCCCACCTTGGCCTTTACTGCCAGTGTTCTCAGGACCACCTTGGCAAACGAGGCACTGAGAATTACTGAGCGCTCTCTTCAAGGTGTAGGGAAGGTCGTATTTTGCCAGGCAGTGGCCCCCTCAGAGCCGATGACTCTGTGCCCCAGTCTCCTGCCAACATGCAGCCATCAGGACACCTGCAGTGGAAACTTCCTCTGCCCTGACTTAGCTGCAGGACTTGGCTCTGGTCAGAAATGCCCTGCACAGGCCAGGTCTGTCTGCCCCCACCGCAGGGCCTGAAGCATACGCTAGCAAATAAATAGGCTTCTAGTCAGAAGCGGAGGAAGGCGCCATGGGAGGGGTAACAGGGAGCTACACTGGAGAATAAAGACAGCACTACCTAGACCGACTGACATTTAAAGCAGAAACCGGAAGGGAGAAGGCCACACAAAGAACCAGGCTCCAGCCTCTGGCAGAGGGAATGACACACACAAAGGTCCTGAGACTGAGAACTATCTCGCAATTCTAGGAAGGGCAGGAAGCCAGCATGGCCACCTCAGGAGGCTGGGAGAGCACAGGGTCAAAATGGAGGCTGAGAACGAGTTGCCGCACCTCCCTCTGCACCCACCCCCAGCCCAGTCCTACCCTCTGCACCTGCTCCCAGCCCAGTCCTACCTCCAGAAGCCGGCAGGCCGCCTGCTGCTGCTCCTGCTGGGCCAGGACATGGGCGCACACCAGGGCCACGTCTGCGTTGTCCAGGAAATGCAGACGGAGCTGGCTGTCCAGAATGCTGGTGACCAAAGGCTGCACCTGGGCGAGGTCATCCTGGAGGTCCCGACACAGCCTGCCCGCGAGGGTCACCAGCTCCGCAGGAGGAGGGCACGTGCCCCCATGCTCCTTCAGCAGCATCAGGAAGCTCTGCATCCCGTATCGGGTCAGGGCAACTCTGCCAACACATAGAACAGTCACACGAGGGCAGCATCGACCTTGTCCTTTCTGCCAGTCAGTCCTCAAACCAGCTCTATGTGGCAGGTGATATACCATGACCCTCGTGCCACGGATTCTTGTAAGCTAGGACTAATAAGAGTTCCCTTAAGAAAAGGCAGGGCCATATCACACAGCCCCTAGAATTTCTTCCTAATTGCCCCAAAATATTTTAGTCCTTAATGAACTTGGTTGTGCACCAAGCAGTGGGCTGGGTGCTGTCTGCAACGGTTCCTTTCACTTCTCTGAGCCTTCCATGTGGTCCCCTGGCGCCATGTGCACAGGGACCACCCTGTTCCTCTCACTTCTCCTTGCCCTTCTTTGCCCCACGCAGTTGGGATGATGTTTCATCTCACTTCTCTGGGCTCAGTGGGGTCAGGGACCTCATGAGTTGAATTCAGGAGCCGTCCCCAGCATCTGCCAGATGGACGCCTAGGCCTTCCATCTAACCATTTTTTTTTTTCCTTTTTGTCTTTTTTCATGTCCGGCAACGGATCGCAACCCTCAGTGTCGCGCCCGTACCGGACCGGGACCGGCAACGGGATCGCAACACCTTGCGCCCACACCTTGCTCAGCCAGTGAGCGGGAACCGGTCTGTATGTGGGATCCGAACCCTCGGCGGGAGCGCCGCTGCGCTCCCAAGCCGCCCACCACCCCCCGCGCCCCC